CTAATATTTTATCTCGAATTTAATTATCGGCAACGCAATAATTGAACCAAAATATTAAATGAATATGAGTAAGATTAATTAATGAAATCGGGATGCTTAACTGCTTTTTTAATTGATTTCTACCTAGGTATCCATGTATTTTGATATTATTGAATTGCTTATTTTAGAAAACTTACACATGACATATCAACCTTTCTAAACTTTCACGATGCATGGTTCATTATAAAGTGAGTTTTGTCTATATATATATGATTCATTTTGAAAAATAATATATTTTCGTCAATTTTTTTATATAGTTATATATTATTATTATTATTAGTGGTTGAATTCAGATTCGATCTTTCAACTCTTGGCCCTTTAGTCTTTTCAAGTCAATGGCCAGATAGAATTTCAAAAATAGAAAAGAACTTTGAGTTCTAAATTCCTAGTACTGTGATTATACGTTACTTTGATGATAATTTTACTCCTAAAATGAGAACAAGTGAGCACCATATGAGATTTTAAGTCAAGTTGGATGGAAACGATCCACAGGGGCACCCATTGAAATTGAATTGAAAGCTTAAGGATTTAAACATCCAAGTCCCGCATTGCTTTCTACCCACTTGTTCACCAGTAAACCATCAGCTCACGTTCAATAGCAGAACCTTCCAGTCTCCTCTTCCAGATTGTAGCTTCTTCTAGTTCCTTCTTAGTTTGTTAGATAGTTTTTTAGCTATTTTCTCTATAAATAGAATAGTTTGCATTGTAATTTCTCCAAGTTGAATGAATGAATATTCATCTTCTTCCCTACCATTTACAGCAGGTCTATCCTTTTATTTTCAGTTTATTTTTCTACAGTTTTCCTTCCTTGATTTTATCATGGTATCAGAGCTGGTTTCTGATTCTTCCGTCTGCAATTTATCTTCTTCTCTATCTTTTCTCAATTGAATCTATCACCAAACTGAGCCACTGTCTCTAACTACCGCACCACCACTCTCTCCATAATTCTCTCTATATCTCTCTAAATTCATGGATGTGGTACGTTGTCTTGAATAGCATGCTGAGAAGTTTACAGATCCTTAAAATGTGGATTGGAAATCTGGCTACAAAGTTTTCAAAAATTCTCCAGCGAAGTCATGAGTTGAGGTTCCGAGGAGACTTCAATTTGTTGAACAAAACAGGATAGTACATTGGCTCACTAGATGCTCAACGAAATGTCGGAACTGATTTCTTCTTATTTTGAGGATTGAGGATAGCAGATCTATTACCAGAAAGATCATCTGCTATTCAATATTCATTGCATCTAAGCATGACAGATTCTGATTGATTTCCCTAGAGGAACTGTTCGCTGAAATCTATACCGCAAGCGCACGGGTCGAGAACAAGTAGTAAAATGGATCTTTTAAGTCCGAGTCAATCCCACAGAGAGTGTTGATTTCAATTATAAGCTTATTTATTTCAATGTAACAAAATTTACACACAGATTTAAAAACGCAAGTTTTAAAAGTAAAAAAAAACTACAATTTTGTTTTAAAATGTAAAATGACAATTAAAAGGTAAAAATGTTTTGATTTTAAAAAGATGTTGGAATTTATCATTTCACTTAACATATACTTCATTAATGTGAATTCAATTACGCCCAGATACAAATGACCAAAATAAGTAGTTAGACCCGATTTTCCTATTTTAAATTAATNAGTTTTAGCTAATACCCTCTTTCGCGCGAATATTAACCCTAATTAGTCAATTCATACCACATATTTCTATGTTGATACAAAATTGACCAATTGCATGATTTTCTGTGAAAATACTCAGCGGATCACATGAGGTAGGTGTATATTTTTATATCACCTATACGCGCCTAGAACACTAAGCAAACCCACGGTATCAATCATTTCGGTCTAGCAAATGTAATTATTTTTCAACAATCACATAAACACCTAATTACAACATATATTGTAGTCACAAAAATGAAGTAATTTTAGCATGAAGATTAATACACTAATATTTTGATAACATATGCATAACAATAATCATACAAAACATATCATAACATTAATGATATATTAGGTTAAACTACTACATAAATTGCAACAAAATAACTTAGCTCATCATCATAATATTCCTCCAATGTTTTCTCCAAGTTCTCTTGATGATATCTCCTTGTTGCTATGGAATTTTCTTCCCAAAATGAACCAAGAACAAAACAAAAGAAAGAAAAATGGAAAGAAGGAGAAAAATAGAGAGGGGGACGTCCAAGAGGGAGAAGGAGAGAGATAATCTTTTAATTCTTCCACCAACTTGACTTGTATAGATATTATATTATAAAATATCTAGATATTTTGGATTAATTATAATTATAATATAGAATAGATATTTTAAGATATTTTGTCTCACAAAAATAAAAATCCTAAAATATCTAACAATATTTTGATCTTCATTACATTTAAGCCCTCCATAAATTGCAATCAAAGTCCTTCAACTTTTTGACTTTTGCATTTTAGTCCCCAATGTCACAAATTTGTACATTTAAGTCCCTTTTCTCCTCTTTTTGCTCCGTTCTTCTTTATATCGGGGTTTTGGCCTACAAAAGTAAAAATTACACAATTATGTATAGAAATTTACTCAATATTATCAATAATTAATTATCAAAAAATGCCAAATAAGGTTGTAAAAACACAATTATCAAGAACCGTCTGCAATTTGGGAAGGAAGCCTACCAAATTTTGCTAAAAATTCATCTCCATCAATGACTGAAAATTCTCAGTCAGATTCTCGATCAAAGGAAACAAACTTATCTGCTTTTGGGCTTGATATTTTAAAGTCAAAGAAAGAAAATCAGGGAATGGTTGCAGAAAGGGTTCTGGTCAGGCATGGAGACCTGATGATGCTGGTCGTTCTCAAACCCTGTCCACCTTATCAAAGCAATCCACCCACTTGAACATTTGTGAAGGTTCCAAATTTAGCAGTTATCAAGAGCTGCGATGAGATGTTCTTCCTCTTCATCAGTTTTTTTTTCTCACGAACTCCTGTGGTACCTTGAAGTCATAGAGATCTTCAAAAATGTTCTACCAGCCTGTTTCCAAGAGTGACTGCACGGGCGAGAGAACTACGGTTTGGGAAGATTCATCATTTCATTGAATATGGGCTTCCCAAGAAGCTTCAAGACCTGCAATTGGAACTTCGGTCATGTTCCACACCCATATTTTCGAATTCTTGCAATTATAATGATACCTTCTTTCAATGCTTGCATCTCTACTCTTCTCTCTACAATTCAAGATGTTCCATCTTTAGGGGGGGAATATTGTAATATTCCACTTGTTCACTGGTAAACTAGGAGCTCACGTTCAACAGCAGAACCTTCCAGTCTCTTCTTCCAGATTCTAACTTCTTCTAGTTCCCTCTTAGTTTCTTATGTTGTTAGTTTGTTAGATAGTTTGTTAGCTATTTTCTCTATAAATAGAATAGTTTGCATTGTAATTTCTTCAAGTTGAATGAATGAATATTCATCTTCTTCCCTGCCATTTACAGTAGGTCTATCCTTTTATTTTCAGTTCATTTTTCTACAACTTTCCTTCCTTGATTTTATCACTACTACATCTTTTCAAATGAAGTTTTACTGTAACATTCCCCTATTTTGGAACCGGTATGGAATTGATTCAATCATGGAATCATGAATAGTCATTGGTCGAGTTGTACATAGACATCGCATAATCTATACAGTGTAGCAAACTGAATGTTAATATTCTTTCCATCTGTCAATGTTTCAAGATCTATCATGAGAGATTGATCCTTTTATACAACAAAAACTGATTGGGTCTACCAGCCAATCATTTATAAATATGTTTACATGTTTAACATAAAGTTGAAACCAAAAGATTCTCAAAGAAAATAGGGGGCTACACTGAAAATGGGTCCTGCATGCTATGTCCTGCATGCTATATTGATATCTTCTGTCCTAATTAATTGAATTCTGCCATTTAGTGAGAGCTAAATAGATTCAAAAAAGATTGCCCATGTGATCTATGGGAGGTTCATGAACAATTTTGGGACCACTTCCATGTGCCACTTGCAGTGAATCTTATAATTTTCTTACCCTTAAACCCTAGAAAATTTCTCTTGGCAAGAAATCCACAGTTGGAACTTCAAATTTTAAGCCATTCTTAACACAAAAACAAGCTCAAAATATTAATTGTGTGGCCATCTTTGTTCTTTCGTGTTCCCAACAATGCTCGAATGAGATATTTCAAGAATTTGTTGAATCGTTCTATCTAATAGGTTTAAGTCATTAGTGAGGTGAAGTAGTAGAGAGGGCGAAGGCTTTTCCACCCCCCCCCCCCCCCCCCCCCCCCCCCCCCCCCCCCCCCCCCCAATTTACAACTAAGGTAATAGTTACCGTGTAGGTCACACTATGCTTTTTGACCAATAGTTACATAAACGTATGTTATAGTGTGACATTGTTGATTGAGAATTGTATTTGTGACTTGCTTTATTATGTTGATTGATGACTTGAGTATGAAAATTTCTATCACTATTCTATAACACGCTCCATCATGTACGAATGAAATTATATTTTTGCGAAAAACCCAAAACTTTAAAAATTTAATCAATTGAAAAAAGTAGTAGAAATTAAGACTAAAAAAACAACGACAAAAAATGTTTAAAAAAAAAGAGTTCTGCAAAAAAAATTCCTTTTCATGAAGTGCTGCCATCTGACTTGAAATCTATCTTTGCATCTTTTGCAGTGACAAATAAAAACAAAAAGTTGAAGAAATAAATACATGAAAAAGCTGTTTCCAGCAAAACAGTAAGCAATAACTCAATCCAAAAATTCATACAAACAAGTGGCATCAATCTAACTAGTTTTAAGGATTAATTCTCTGGCATATTCCTATAATATGAACCATAATTCAATTAAGCTACTCGACTCGCTGTATAAATACTGGAACATCATATTATAGTCAAAATATAATGTATTGTCCAGTACTGTGTACCAAAAGTGTCTTGGTTTACATGAAATATCACCTATGGCACACGCATCTGTAGTGGTATGGGCTGTTCATTGGGTCGTTCCCTTCGACAGGAACTTGCTCGGCTCTGCACTTGTACTTGCATCCTTTGCATTCATTATACGTGCAAGTTGGCGCCACTGATCCGATCAATAATCTTCTTGAATGTAAATCCTACATATTTAACTATATTCAATAAATTAACTGGATCCAGAGGACGTGTCATTGTTTATGCATGATTTTGTCTCACCTTCAAGTTCAATTCTCCTGATGATGAAATATGGTAGGCTCTCTGATTATAAGGAAATGTCATTTGAATTCTGGACCCTTTTGTACCTAAAAAATGGTATGGATATTATAAAAAACACAAGTAATTTAGCCTTTGTTTGGTAGAGATTACAAGTAGATTTTGATAAAAGTTGATGAAATGTGTGGTTGAAAAGTTGACCAAACGGGGGCTTAGTCCCAAATACAAAAATATTATACGATTTATAGCATTACAAAACTAAATTCCGGATGGAATTACACGGTCAGAATAAAGTCAAATATGAATCTTATTTGTACAATCTTGGCATGTTTGGTTTACTCAATTGTTAGACGAGACAACTAACAAATTTTATCACGTGCTTCTTTTCTTTAATCCTATCCAATGCAACCCAGTCGAGCGTATCAAAGATGCTCTCTGAGTCCTGTTTGGAGTAGCTTATCCAAGTTTTGTTGTCTTCCTCTTCATTAACTTGACAAGAATGTATTTGAAGAAGTCCTTTAGAAAAGAGTGGTTGCACAGGATTGGGTAAATAGGGGCATTTGAAAACATAAAACTATCAAACAAGCTAAAGAAAATCAAGAATTACAGACTAAACAAATATTGCAGCACAAGACAAGTAGACTAGAAGCAGATGAAATTGACTATTATCTTCTTAGGATAGAAGCAACTCAAAATTTATTGAGAATAGGACTTAATTTTTTGTTATAAGGAATGTACATAGTAAAAAATCAAGAAAACTTGATAAAATTAAGGAATACCTTGTATGAGTAATGCTGCAGAAAACAAGTAGAGGAGGAAGAGATAATATTTGGGAATATTGGCCATTATCTTTCTAGTTGGAGAAGAATATGGTGGAAGGATATGAATAGTAGTAGATGATATATAGAGAGGCAGAGAGTGGAAGAACAAGGACCATAAGAAGATAGACTGGCTACATATCCAGCAAACCAAAGAGGTCCCCAACTGACAAACTTCAAATTTTTTGCATGCCAACTCAAGATTTATTCCAATGAGGTAGAAATATATTCCACTTTTTTTTAAACACTTTCGAATCATGCTTTAATATATA